CGAGACATAGCAGAAGCGGCGATGAGTATTGAATTTGAGCGATGGCATGCGGATGCTGAAGATTTCTCCGCAATGCTTGTACAGGTTGCGGATATAAGCTTCATCAGCAGTAGGTGGGTAGTTGGACACAAAGACTGTGAGATTTATGCCCGGCGTGACGCTGATTTGTGATTGGCCAAAATATTTCTGATCTCGTAGGAGTGCGGATTGAGCATCCTCCGTAGATCTAAACTCGATCAGGGCTGAACTTGAGCCATCTTTTTCCTGGAGGGTAGTCAAGCCATTGACGTGACCATAATCTTTGAAGTACTTCTTGATCGCTGTCTGCGTGGCATCACCCGGCAGGTTCGTAACCATGACAGAGGTATGTTCACGATCTCGCGATGGCTTTGACTCCTGAGACCCGTCCTGACCGTCCACGCTCGCAGCCGTACTCCTCACTTTTTTGTTTATGCCGTCGCCTGCATCTTCGGCACTATCATCCCGTTTCCTCTTGGAACTCGAAGGCGAACCATGCTCTGTAGTGGCTGGCGCTCCACTCACAACCGCCTGGGTCTGAGCTTGTTGTTCGGGCTGTGCAGCATAAGCAGCTTGCGCCTCTGCATTTTGGCGCTCGCGGCGCTTTGCTACGGTTCGACGAGTCTTGTGAACGTTATCAAGAGCAAACTGCAAAACATCCGGCTGTTCGTAGTCATTGCAATGTTGGAGATAAACCTCCATTACTCGTTCTGGCCAGTCCAATGTCTTCTGTGCGAGAGCTCTCTGTAAAACACTCGTAGCAGCGGTAGGTACACCAGTGGGCTTGACGCCGATTGTGGGAGTAGGTGGATTAGTAGGGGGTGGGCCCTTGGGTTTTGAAGCAAAGACAACCATCTCCCAAAGATAGTAGTTCAGCCAGAAGTCGTAGCTGTTGGCAAGAAGTGGCTGCTGGGTCAACTTATTCCAGAAGCTTCTGGCATGGTCTTGGTCGCCTCTCACTTCTGACAGAAACTGGATGAGAATGCGCTCAAGTCGGTAATTCGGGTCACCTTGGTAGGCGTCCTGGTAAAGACGTTTTCCCCAAAGCTGTACGTCCTCCAGCGCGGCGGTAAGACCAAGCTCGGCCACGTCAGCAGCGTCTTCAGAGGCATTCGGATCCATGGCGGTGCGTTTGAGGAAGCCGCACCAAGCCGTGTACATGTCAAGCACGCTTGTCATACCATTTTTGTCCAAAGCCTTCGTATTGGTCGCAGCATGTTTGATGGACTCGACACTCTGGAAAGGTAAACATGCGCTCTCGGCGTGCAGAATGTACCTCGACCAAAGCGGACCAGACCAAGGGCAATGTTTGGTGGCGCGCTGCAAGAAGTCGAGCATGTCCGGTAGATCGGTATAAGTCTGGGAGAGGGCCTTGCTCTGGCGATGCAGGGTGGACAGGTAGACGGCACAGTTATTCCAGATCTCCTCGTCGACGGAGAAGATACCCGTCAAGGCGCGCGCATAGAGACCCAGTCCGAGAGAGATGGTCAAGGTATCGTTGACAGGCGCATGGGCGGTTTGGGCCATCTCGAAGTCGAGATAGAGGCGCATCTGGGCGCCCTCCGCATCGCGATTGCCCTGACGTCGGGCGCGCTCAAGGGCGAGCTCAAACTTCTCCCTCGGTTCGTAGGCCTTCTTAGCCTCTTGAGCGGTGCGCGTGACGTCCAACATCTCTTGCTCGTAGGCGGTATTGTTGTAAGTACTGAGGAACTGGGAGAACATCTGGGAGGTCTGGTCCCAGGCGGCATGGGGCACCTGCAGGCGGTCGCGAAAGAGGTGAGAGATGCGCTTGACGCCGCTCGGAGTGCGAGTGCGAGCGAGCTGTTCTTGCTCGATGCCGACCCAGCGATTCCAGAAGCAGTGACTGTCGGAGATACGGAACTTGGTGGCGGCGTAGCCATCACTCCACAGGCTTAAGGCGGCATCGAAGGTGAAGAGCTCGCGGGCGAGCAGCTGCTCCTCCTCGGAGTACTTGGGGTCGGGTGACTGGGATTCGGTGAAGAGGGACCAGAAGTACTCGCAGTAGGCCAGCCAGAGTGTGAGAGAGGCGGGCTCGTCGGCGAGGGCAGCCTTGTAGAGTTCTACGAGCTTGACGCGGGCCTCGAGGTCGTTGACATGGCGGCGCTGCTCGTCGATGTAGGCCAGCCAGTTGTCCTCCCCGACGGGGTTGGCCATGATGTCGGGTGCTAGACGTGGTGGGATGCTGCTGGGGTCGGGGTTTGTCGTCTCGTCATGTGCTTCAGCAGGCTGTTTCGTGGACCTCGGCGCATAGAGATGGAAGAGAGGGAGGATGGGTGAGGCGCAGAGGGTTGGTTGTCGCCGTCGAAGGTGCCTAGTAGCCTTTCGTCTACCTTGGGTAGTTTCTGTTTGCGTGTGCGGTTTAGATATGGCAGTGTAGTGTCCTCAGAATGGCAGCAGTTGCTAGCAGCAGTGGCAGCGACGGGGAGTGGTGGTGGTGGCGGTAAGAAGCGCGTATCTTGGCTGCCCGGCTGTTAGGATTTGATTAATGAGTGGTGGTGTGATTTTGCGGCGCTGGCGCTTGTTTGCTTTTGCTACAGCCTGGTGGACTCTCTCTCTCGCTCTCTCTGTCGCGAAACTGAAAATTGTTCCCGTCGTGACATGCTACAGGGTTCCAGCAGCACCAGCGTGCAGTGGGCTTGGCTCGCAGGCGGACCGGAGGACCCCAGAACTGCCAGCTAGGTATCTTCGCTCTAGCTCTCGCGACGTGTTCGAGATGTGCGAGTGTGTACAGCTGTGGCTCTGCACACAACAATGCCGTGGTTCTGCCGTGGCATCTACTGTACTTTGGAGTGGGCTGGGTGAGCGTGAGAATGGGATCTGCATGTATTTGCATCGTTCAAGCGCAGTCCCCGGTTTCATTTCTCGGGCAGAGGCCGGGTGTGGCAGACAGCGCAGGCTTCCGGCAGGCTTGCAGCGCAGGGTTCCAAGGTTGGCAACTGCACAACCACGCAGCGCCAATCAGCCCAGCGCGCCTCAGCAGCCCTCTCTGCCCATCCCAGGGTCCAGAACACTCCCCCGACAACTCCCCCATCTCGCCAATCACTTGGCCCCTCGACCCTTCTCACGCCTCGTCGTTTCATTCGCTCCCTTCCTTCCTTTCGGCTCTCGGTTCCTGCTGCGCCTGTCAAAACAGCCCATACCCCACTACTGATTTGCTGCACGATGACGAGCGCCTCATTTCTTACCCGTCCCGACTTGCCCATCTCTGCCCATGTTGCGCCTGCCTGCCCCGACCACTAGACGATGTTGCATTTTCTGCTTTCGCATCTTAATGTATTTGATAACCACTCAAATTCTGAAACAATGTCCGAAATGACAGCCTCGTGCATTACGTTGCCCTTGTTCACCGTTTTGGAATAGACTCTATTTGGCCAAATTAGAAAATCAAGCATCTCTCCGTGTCGTGAGTCCCGTGACGATAAACAAACAATGGACTAATAGAAGGCGCATCGACGCCAGGCCTTGATAGATATGGCAGTCTGATCGTCTGCTTGAAATGATCATAGCTACTTAGTTCCAAATCACGCAATCGCCGTCTATTAGGTCCTCGAAATCTGGTGTCGCGAAGTACTAGCTAGAGAGGTTGTTCACGCCGTTGCTGATTACGCGTCTTGAGCGCTCGAGGAACATGGCAGCGTATGCTGGCCCTACCTAGGTCCGGAGCTGAAGCCCCAATACAATGTCTTGTTACCCCAGGGCGTTGAGGGTGGTTATCCGAACTGCGGCTGTCTGCCGGTGTGTAGAGGTACGCTCCATCCTCACCCATTGTATCTGCGCAGGCTTCAGCGAATGTCTGCGACCACATATATAGCTCGACGATATCCTCACGCACGTGATAGTCTCGCACGGGATTAGAGCATGTCCTGGCTTCTCATCGGAGTAACATATTGCGCGCGGTGTGCTTGCGCCTACGCCCCCAAATCAGAGCCCGGGAGGAGAAACTTGTGGCGTACGATCGTGTTAATTTATTCTCTCAGTCCATATACATTTCTTGCACCCCGGAATCCTGGATTGCCGCAATTTATGAGAAGATCTCGCGTCGCTTGAGGGCTACGCAGACGAATCAAGGCAATGGTGAATGTTTTGTCGCCTGAGTTGGATGAGGTGAATGGGTCCATGGACACCGTGGTGGTGGTGCATTCGAGTGGGCGGCCATTGGGAGATTGACCGCGCCGCATATATTGCACTGTTGCTCCTGGATACGTGTGTTTGTTTTGATCTCGTCGGAAGAAGTTTGAAGATCATTGATTGTGATACAGGTGCAAGGAGGTGGAAGATGGCTAAGACGATGAGAAATCCAGCCGAGCACAGTGGTCCGCCTGTCCCGCCAACACTAGGCCGCCAGGGCGCTGTTTGGAGCCCTTTTCTTACATCACTTCATTTTGAAGCTTTGTCTATTCTGGAAACTATGTCTCTGTTAAACATATACATATTGGAAGGCGGATTGCGACCTACTGGGTTTAGTCAGGCATTTAAGAGTCGAATCACCCCTTCGAAGTCATTACTCTCACAGGCAATGCACCGAATAGAAAAACTAGTCGAGCCGACAATAGGATTTCTCTAGATCAGGGTATCAAAAATTGAACTTTGAGAACCCTTATCTCCATCTCGCGAAGCTCGGAGAAGTGAGACTGGTTCCTTGGCCGAAGTATGCTATTTCAATACAAACTTGAACACATGAATGCATTATAGGGTGAAAAGAGGAATAATAAGAAAGGGGGGACGATAAATGTGATAGGAGACCTGCGGTGGTTGACGTAGACTCATAGTAGGACTCAATGTTTTTTTTGACGACTGGCCTTGCACGATAGAAATTATTGAACTCAACGAACTCGTAATGAACATCCCTCGCTAAACCATGAAGCTTTTTAGCTGACTCCCAGACCTTTTGGAACATCTAGCATCCCAACTCATCAACTACACACCATCTCGCGTGAGATCGTAGCAAAAAGACAGTTTGATGGTCAGTATAGGGCTTGAACCTATGGCCTTCGCAGTAATCCCCCAGGATTATTATACTTGGGATGTATGTAATTGCGATGCTCTACCAACTGAGCTAACCGACCTTGCTCCTGTGTTGTGAGTGAGATGTAGTAGGTCTTGTTATGAAGAGGAAGATGCGACGGCGGATCATCCGCGGATGTGGAAGTGGCTGAAGGTATCCGGCTGGAGGATGTGCAGGGTGACTAAGGTAACGTAAGAGAGGGAAGAGAAGATATTGGCTCACAAATAGTGGGAAGGCAGTCATTTCAGGTAAATTGTTTCTGGAATGTGTTTAAAAACTTACTTCACACAGGCAGCTATCTGTAGAAGATACACAAAGCAGGTACGCGTGGGTAGATAGTCATCATGGCTAGGTATATATGATTGGACTCTTCCGTGATTGAACAGAGTTCGATTTGCTTGAAAGCATTATTTCATTTCGCTATGAGATAATAAGTGATGTGTTCGGTATTCACCCTGATGTAACGGGCTCGAACTCGTCCTCCATATCATTGCCCCATTTCACAAAGCCGTATGTAAATGCTGGCCCCTACTCAGAACACTAGGGATCGCATCTGTGAAGTTGTATCAACGTCTAGGAGCGCATCCGACTGAGAGCTCCGCAGGTTGTAGAATCATTGGGACAGGGACGACTTAGATCCATATATCTGATCACCTTGCTGTATTGCCTCGGGTCCATATCCGTAGAAGCCCTCCCGACACGTAATTCGGATATGGGCTCTGCGAGAAGTTGGCGGTACCAGGTTTCGAAGGAATGTCTTTCAGAAGCGAGTATATCTGTGTCATATCTTGTCAATGTCAATGTTTTGCGATTGATGTGTCCTATTCTTCATCTTCGGGGTAACGGAGTAGTTGTGGTGTCCCCGTCACCAGCAAATTCGAAAGAGGTTCTTGGTAGTGAGTTGACGATGTGTTGCTATCATCGTTTAGCCAATTTTTGAGAAGCGCATACCAAATCTATTTGAGACAAGACATCCCAAAGATGCCACTCCCGAGTTGAAACCTTGAGAGACTCATCGAGGAATGTGACTCAGGCTGTGGCAAAATCTACGAAGTCAGATGAAATAACTTATACGGTCACAGAAGAGTCTGAGATAGTCAAATGGTAAGGCCTGTCTTCGTTTTCGAAAGTGAGCGCTTCACTGATCTGGTTTGTCATTTCTGGTTCGCCCAATTCGGGGTCCAAGAGGAGCACATGGAAGTTGTTGACAATTCATCGCTGATTAAGCTCAGCAGACCCGGCTTTGCACTCAAAAGAAAACAAGATTTTCACGACACAGCTCGAAGTGGCTTCGTATTGTCTGGTTCAGGTGACTTGGTCGCCACGCGGGTCAAGTCACCATAAGCTGCAAAGGAGCGGCCAGCAGGACGCTCTTCAAGTGCTTTGACTATAACCGAGCGACGATGTCGGTGGAAGTTAAGTTCGTTTTGCTGTAATCTAATTCCAGATCGTCAAATGCGAATCCTAGGGGCTCACAACGCGCGGGATGAAGAAAAGCGATACAAACATAACGGGCCATATCATGGCAGTATACGGTAAAAGATGCTCCACATGAGAAGATTGACAGCTTCGCCGCGAAGGAAAAATACAACTACCATGGAGAGCCGGGAGACATAGGGCTGGCACAGAGGATTGCATTTATCAGTGACTGGGAAAAAACATCAATTGTAACAAGATTTCTGTTGTCCAAATCAACACTAGCATAACTGCTCGTCGCAAGGCCTCGAAAGGTACTAACTGGTACCCTGCAAATGTGATATGATGGAAACGCTGGTTAGCAGATCGTACTCTATCCCAGAGCACTGGACTTTCACTCCAGATGCTCTAGCAGGCAATAGATGCAGGATCAGTCATCTCTCTTCCTAAGTCAAACCCGTTTAATTGGTATAGGCTGTGAATGTTCACACTACACGTACGAACAATGCTGCAACCCGAAAAGGAGCGTCTAAGGACGTAACCCAGCGTCGGCCTGATAGAGGTGTTTCATTTGAAGCGTCGGATTTGCGCGGTAGCCTAATCCATATCGAGATCGAGGGCTCAGTTAGTCCGCTCGTAGGTACTTGTAGGCACAAGTCATGCTGGGCGATTTCCCACGATATTGCTGGCATGGATGCTATTCTTTTCCTGGAGATGATATGTATCAATCGATGATTCTTACGCACCATGCCGAGTATCAGCACGCAGAACTCACAGAACTATGGCGGAAATGTATCTGAAGAGTATAGCCACCGATGAAACACGACATGCCGCGCGTGGAAGAATTCGAGACCCAGAAAAGAAGCATAACAGATAGACGGATTAAGATGCGACGATCAAGCGTGCTCCAACGAAGCGAAGTTCCACATGTAAAAGGTACCGGTACGTCGCCCGAAGTTACATTGCATACCAGAGAGAGTTGATCCGCATGGCAATCTTGGATAAATTCCCCTCAAGGTACCATTTTCAAGGGATGCCGATATGAAAATTCGATTAAGTGCATCGCTGAGACGGGATGATGAACATCGTGAGCGACCGCTGCAGTAGCCCTGTAAGACTCGAATCAATAAGGTGTGCTTGGGCTGAGGCGCAAACCACCTGAGCCTAGCCCTGTCTATTTAATCCATAATGTAGCATATCATCACCGTAAAATAAGCAGAAATATCCGAAGGCCTCGACTTATTTCTACTTCACTCGACTTCCTAATGCTGGAGGGGAACGTATTGAGCCTGTTAGCTAATGAGCTCTTTGACATGCCCTGAGCTACGAGAAGTTCGGATGTGGCGTTGATGGCGTCTCAGAGTCCGTGACCACTGCCCCCGTCGGCCCGCGCCGTTAGGTACGCCGCCCCTAAAGCCGCCCCTAACGTGGCCCCACCTAAAGGCGAAGAGAGTGCAAGAGTGGCTGTGCCGATTGGTTCTGCGTGCCATATCCATTACCCGGGCTTTCAAGAAGTTGAATTGAGGGGCGAAGGAAATGAAGTTCAGAACTCTTTGCCGTAGCTGCGCTTCCCATATTGGATCAATGTTCTTTGTCCCTTTCCAGTGCAAACACTCTTTGATTGAATGAATTCTGCCAGAATACTCAAGTGGATCCGATCGTCGAGATGTCCGAGCGCTTGCGATCGAGTATAGGCGTCTTATGACCAGGATGAGGACGACATCGTCGCAGGCCTATGTCTCGTTGCCGTCGTCGTCGTCGTCGCCGTCATGTAATGTGTTTCATACATGGTCGACAAGAGGCATCTAGTACGGCTAGATGTACACAGAGGAGGCCTTCGTCTTCATTCATCTGCGTCAACACCGCCCCGTCATCTGGGTATTATTGTGCCCGAGTGCTATATTAACGTATTATTGAAGATAACCACAGCCGATTTCATCGCACATTTGTCGGCATAGTATTTGCCTTTACGCTCCAGACCTGCGCAGCGTATTATATGAGTTGCGGACAATGACCAAGTTTGGGTCGTTGTCGAAACTGTTGTTTGGTAGCGTACCGGTTACCCGAAATGCATTGGAACACTTGTCAATCGACAAAGCCAAATGTTGAAAAATAACTGACTTTTTTTAATTACCTAAATACCTAATTGGTAGCAAGCACACAAAGGTACAGCACATCCACGCAGCCACCTGCGAAGGCGAATCATACATTCCGGATCTATAACGGTTCCAAGTCCTAGTAGTCACTGCGTCCACCGCATCCAATACAAATACACCACGCGTGAGCATGATTGTCGAAGAGCATTAATGACACCGTCCTATTCTACGGATGCAGAAGGCCGAACCATTGAATAGTACTACACCGAGCGACGCTGCTGACTCTTCATCCCATATCTGACAGGATGTCCTTGTCGCTGTTGTCGTCAAGTTCGGAACGGTTGGTCCTGTTGCTGCTGAGTTTGCTGTGCCCATTCGTTCTACGGTCCGAGAGATTGTAGCTGTCTGGGATGATTTTGCTGTTTTTTCGAATCCCGCTCATGCGAAGCAGGGGTCGGTAGAATGGGATCGAAGAGGCAATTATAGTTGCGCAGACTTCGGCGACAAGCCAGATCAGAACGAGGGCGGTCCCGTAGGTGAAATCTGCGCTGCGGGAAATCTCAGGGATGGTAGACGACTTGTAGATGCCCACTACGCCAGCACTGTGTATAGACCAGCACATCAGCATTTGTTTCGACACGGCCGTCACCAAGGCATAAGATTACGAGACGGTAGCACTTACATCACACCAAGGGACATGGAAACGATAATGCCAATCTTCTCGCGCTGTTGCATTTGCAGATTCCAGATGATAAAGACCGGAAAGCCGACCAGGAACAGATCGACGGCAGCTGAGTAGCCAGCAGCGAAGACACCAAGCGCGATGACACTGTTGCCCGGAACACAGCCCGCTGTCGGTACGGTGCCGCATTGGAAGAATTGAACAATGGATATGCTCAGCAGCGATGCGTTCACCGAGGCGAGCAAGAAATAGAGAATGGCCTTTTGCCACATCCTCGTACAAAGGCGCAACATCGTCAAGATGAAGGAAGTCTTGGAGACAGAGACAGCGATGACAGCAAAGAATTGTGCTATGGGAAGCAATTTGAGAAGGGTAGGCAGCTGCGTGAGATCGAGGTCGACTGCTTTATGGCCGAGACCGTATCGTATGCAGATGAGAGAGAGGACCACGAAAACCAGATGTATTATCTTTTCGCGCAATATGTTAGCTGTCTGATTCAGAGTTGCTATCGAGCAAGAAGACACACCCATGCTGATGCGAGGCAAATATCATCCAGCCAAAATCGTGCGCCCGTCAGATACTTGCTGTAAAAGCGAAGGCTCATAAATGCCAGAGACACCACGCTCAAGACGATCATGACCGTCGTCAGCGCGAGAACGTAGGACGCCGCCATCTTCCGTAAATCGTACAGAGCACTAGGCTAAAAGAGTGTAAAGAGAAGGAAAGAGTGTAGTGTGTAGGATGGCGACTAGAAGAGGCCTTCCTCTGGTTTTAGATTCTCCCCAACAGGGCTCCAACCTGTATATTCCGAACTTCTATACTGCCGAATCTGGACAGCGTCCTGCCGACTAAGGCTATGGAAGAGCA